GGGGCAATAAAACATCTCATAAATAAATACAAAGCCCTCTCACAGCTTTGGAAATAATCAATTATTATTTCAAATACATTCTGAAGGTAACAGTTGGCCAGTATGGTGAGCCCAGCATCGGTGAGATGTGGTCAAACATCCAAGTGAGAATCAAAAATCCTGCCTGCTGAGTTTTGGATCAGCTGGAGGCAAAAGATGGATTTTTTTTATTATTATTATATTTTTTTCTACCAATGTCAGAGAGCAAGGAATTACAGTTGTCTAATCGACTAGCTTGGAAGGTGTGTATAACCGTTTCCAGCTGGAAAATTCACTTATTCACACAACAATCTCTGCATGATATTGACCTTTATGTAGCCTATCTTGCTATTGTAATAGGATTAGCTTGTATTTATTTTATTTTTATATATTTAAAGGGAAAAAAAAGGTTCTTAAAATGAGCACTAACAGTTGCAGAGGCTTAAGTTGCCCGCACTGTCTAGCCCATCAGAACAGAAAAGATGAATGGAGCTGGTCCAAAACCAAAATAACTCTGCAGTGCCTCAGGGAAAGTTATAATGCAAGACTCAGAATGAACTAATATGGTCCCAAGACTAGACTATCCAATAAAATGAATATTTGGAGAGCTGGACATGGAAGATATTGTGGTGTCAGGCTGTCAGCAGCTTGTGGGGGATGTTATTTGTAGAAGCTGTGATGTTGTGGTGTCTCTCTGCTCTCTGTTAAAGCTCCATCAGTCAGGATGAGCTGACAACAAATGCAGCTGCATCATACAGGGTCACGCGAGGCCTCGAGACGGCATCACTCAACTGGCTGTCACCGTGTGATTGCAGGAACCCTAACCTGTGCTACGGAGGGAGGGAGAAGCAATTAATCAGCTCATTGGAATAATCGCATATTTGATTATTAACAAAACCAGAGGAAGGAGAGGGGCGAGACGAAGGGAAACAAGACATTGAGCGCCGGAGACGGGGGGAGATGAATGAGGGGGGATTTGAGTGGTGGGGTAAGGGGTTTGTTCTGGCAGGTAGCTTTGACGAATAGCTCCGCACTGAAGTCTTCCTCTTTGAGTATTAATCTACCAAATCATGTCTCCGAATGAGGGATGGAAGAGGTGGACAGTGGGAGGCGACTCGCAGAGAATTGGCGGGGAGAAGCCGAAGAAGTTGCTGAACGTGCTGTGAAATTTCAATTAAAAATTTGCATACCAAATGCTCAATATATTGCATAACACACAGTGGAAATATGAGAGCGAAATGCCCCCTTTACCCTGAATACAATCACAAAGATGCCCACACTCTTCATGACATTTTGAAATATCATGCAGCAATTTTGGTTGGTCTATTCAAGTGCGGACATCGCTGACATTTTATTCCCTGCGAGGAAGATACCAGTGCTGCTGCGGAATTCATTCTTTGTCCATTTCTGCTATTGACACTTTTCCTTAAGCTGCTATGTGACTCGAGCTGTCAGGAGATCTTTTTTGGACCTTTGGCTTACATAGTTCTGCCTGGAAGGCTTGATCTCTTTCCCCCTTTCCTTGTCACAGCCTGCAATCAGCTTTAAGCCCTTTTGTGTTCTCCATTCTGAGCTAAGCCTGTTATCCTGTGCAACTCCTTTACACAAGATCACTACTATATCCCCCCTTCTCTGTCTTTCACCTGGTGCACCGTCCCTCTTGTTCCCGTGTCCTTGTTCTCTGTCTCTTTGTTCTGCACACACAGATCCCAAAGTAATGACTCTGAAGTTGCTCAAGGATGGATTAGCGGTACTTCTTTATATTTATTTGGTCCCGTTCCTCGGCATAAACCTGCACACCAAAATCACAGAGCCCTTCCCATCCTTGTTTTCTCCCCACCGCCCCGTCTCACAAACACATGTACCGGCCCAACCACATTCCCACTGCACACACCTGCATCACGCTGGTATATACATTGCTCACTCATGTTGTTTGGATTTATCATATTAGAGAGAGAGAAAGAAAAAACCCTCTCCCTCCCAGTGCAAGGTGTCAGTTCAGTGGTGCATTGCAAACTCCTGTACGTCCTCCTAAACTACAGCCTCTAGTCCCCCAGGGTCCGCTCCTCACATTCATAACACTCCGCTCCATGCCAGGTGGCTGTCTCCGCAAGTCCTCTTCCCCATAAATCAGACTGTCTTTGAGTTGATCAATAACAAGTCAATTAGCAGGCGTAGAGAGATGAGGGTCTCAGAGGGTCACTGCTTGTTTGTCAGGCAGACATCTGCAGCTCTGTCCCTGTCTGCCACGGAGCTAGGTGTGGCGTTTACCTTGGAAACATGTGGCTACTTGGCCATCATAAATCTAAATATCAACTATAAATAGGCTGGGAACATCTTGCAACAATCCATCATTTGCTTGTTCTTGGATATGCAATGAATCAAACATTGTGCACTTCAGATCTCTCAGCTGTGTCTGATGGATTTGAGCAGGCCCGAGAAAACAGCACTGTTTTTTTTCTTCTTCTTCTTTTTTTTTTTTGTCTCGAGCTTGGCTGCGTATTTGCTCTTCAGCATTTCCTGTGAATAGGTGTGCTTGTAAAAGAAAGAAGGAGACAAACAAACAAAAATACTGCGACTGTTGTCTGAGGTCACAGTTGGCCATATGCACCAAATATAAGCTGCAAAGCCTGCCAGTATTCCTCCTGCTCCCCTGTTAAGCTGACAAGAGTGGGAGAGACCCAACTGTTATTTGGTGCCCACTGACGGTGTATCTAATGACTTGGCTGGCAAATCCAATGCAACAGCAACAGGCTCCTGTGGTGAATACACTAGATTAATCCCCTGGATAATTACAAACAAGAATGATCTTGGGCAAATACTCCCCGTACCTGCTGAGACATTACATCAAATGATGCTGTCTAATTAAAACTCATTCTAAATGGCGACAGGGAGAGAGAGCTGTTTGAAGCGATGAATGAAACGAGCTGCTTTCGCGCCGAAGTTCTATAGAAAAATGAACTCCTGATAAAAACAAGTACAAAACAGCAGCAACACAAACATCCAATACAATGCAGCTCTCTGCAAAGAAAAGCCATTTGATTATTCCACTAGACAGTATTTTTTCTGATTTGTGCCTATGCAGCCTCTTTCCCACCTCTGAACGTTGCTTATGTTGCTTTGAAAACTAATTTATCAGAATAGTAACTGCCAAGCGTACGCTCACGCTGCACACACACACTGTTTGATATTCACCCTAATATGAGTCACTTTTGTTGCTGCTTTGAGATTTTGATTCACAGCAGCTACCACCTGAACCGCTGATGCATCAGTCACAAACACTGAAAAAGGGAAAAGCAAAAAACTAATTAGAGGCCCTAAAAATAACAAAAAGGGTCATTATTATCACTGAGATATCTATTATTTTTTATTTGATCGTTTATTTTGGCCCTTAAAATCACACATAATTTAAAAAAATAAGTTTTTAATCATTGATATTTTTTTTATTTCTTTTTATTTTTCATCATTATTCAGCCATCTGGATGAGACAAGCCTGCAGACAGGGGAGATAAAGACGGCATGTAAGTGTTTCCAGCTGAGGATCAGAGTGTTGTGGTGAAAAAGTTGTTTGTCTGGGGTTTGCTGTTGGATTCTGTACATGCACATGTTCGCAACTGTGCTTTGGGGTTGACCTTGTTTTCTTTTTTTCAGCTGCCTGTATCAGGTGGCAGGAGTTGACTGTTGGGATTCCATCAAAGGAAGGGTATAAATGCAGGGCACAACGAGGCATGCAGGACCAATCCCACTGTATGGAGCCTCAGCTCCTGGTAACAGAAGCTCCAAGCGGCAACACAAATACAGTATATGTGGTGTGCAGGGTCTGGCTCCAGGGCTTCCCTTGTGCTCCCATGCAGAGAGGGGCCCCAAGGGAACTGATGCCAGCTGAGACTGAAAAACAAGGTAAGAGCCCAGCTGACACACATGCACACAGACTCAGCTGTTTGTCTGAAAGGAGAGTTCAGTATGTGAAGTACGCAGAGAGCCAGGAGATGGGAGAGACTGACAGATTCAAGCCTCCGAGGGAGAAAAAAGTAGTGTGAACTCTGAAAGACGGATAGACGGAAGATTCTCCAGTGTGTGTGCTATAGGTGTGCGCAATGGTAAGACTCGAAAATGGATGAAATCGTTTCTGAGACTGTTTGACTGCTATATTGTCAGATCTGGTAATGGAGCCTAGATAGCATGGGAGGAGATGAAATAAGGTCAGTGCAGCAGTATCATTGATCTTACCTGTGCCATATCATGAGAGTACTTGGCTGCTGAAATACGACTTCTAAACTGAACAGTTTTGTGTTTGGAATAAGTCTTTATGATGTTTATTCAATATGATGGTTTCTTGTTTTCTTTTCCCTCCCGTTTGGTCAATATCTATGTATTATGAAATAAGTTTGCTGCGACTCCGATTTTTCCTCGCATTTAAAATGCCAGTTGGAGACTCCCAGGGCTCCAATTCGCTCTGCAGCCAAGAAAATGACTAATATAAATGATTGACAGCCTTGCAGCGATAAGGTTGCCCATTTAGCAAACTTGCTGTGTCAAAGGAAAAAAGTCACAATGGCTCCCTGAGTGATGGGTTTGAAGATGAGAGAAATGAAGATTTTGGTGTTGTATCGATCCCCCAGTGCTTGTCTCATGCATTTTACACAAGATCTAAATGCCACTTACGGTATAATACAGCAGTCTAGGTCAAGGCTCTGTGCTCTCTGTTCAGGGGGATTTCAGGGTATTTCAGGGTGTATAAATTCAACAGGAATCAACTGAAGCTTTTAGATTGTGTCACAGGCTCAACATTGAGAAGCCACAAGGTTCAAATTCCCCACGAGGATTTGAACCTTCAAATCTTTTCTCTGTGTCATGGACAGCTGACATTATTTTCATACTTTTGCGGCGCATCAAATGAAACTCTCCTCTCTTCTCCTTTCCTCTTCTCACCTTTCCTCTCCTCTCCTCTCCTCTCCAGGGTCTAAGCTCTAAGTCACGTCATGGCGGCATTAAGCCGAGAGACAGATGGTCCCAGATCCACCATGCCGGCTGAACTCCACCATCCCCACTCGCAGTTCTCTCTGTGGAAGTTTAAACTGTTCAGGGTGAAGTCTATGGAGAAGGCCCCTTTGCCCGGCGAGACACAGCCTGAGAAGGGATCCTCATTGGGGACGTCGACTCCTGCAGCTCTAAATATAGACCTAAATGATGGTGTGGGTCCGGGGAACGTTATGAAACTGTGCCTGGGGGGAAAAAGCAAGGAAAATGTGGAGGGCCCTGGAAGGAGAGTAGATATCAAGCTGCAGGAAATGGACACCCACATGAACCACCTCAGGTAATCAGAATTCCCTTTACTATATAAATGATGGTTTGTTATATTTCTCTCTAAGTATTTGACAACATTATTTTTTGTCCTCTGTGAAGGAGCTTGTGCCGTCTCTGCGGATCGACCCTGTGGAAAATCAAAGGACCGGTGCATGACGTTCATGGAGATCTGGATGAAGTAACCAAATTTGCCCTGCGTAAAATGGGCTGCAAGTTCAAACAATGGCCAGATGTCATCCTTAAAGTCTTCAAAGTGGACGTGACAGGGGACGCAGAGTCTGTGCACCCCCTGTCCTTCTGCCATCACTGCTGGAAGGCGGCCATACGAGGCGGCGGCGTCTGCAGCTTCACCAAAACTAAAGTCCCTGAGTGGAAACCCCACTCTTCCCCCTGCTACCTCTGCTCTCCCCGGAAACCTTCATTCCAGAGGACACGGAGGAAGAAGAGGAAAGCCGTCCCTCGGGCCCAGAGCCTGGCGAAGAAGACCAGGCGGGACTACGGTGAGAGCATCGTTGTTAGCGAGAAGAGAACTCTGAGACCGTTCGGAGAAAGTCTCAATTCTGCGGTGAGGGTCTGGAGGAAACCCAGCGTCCAGAGAGAGCAGTGGGTGAGGAACATCACGCGCTGCCAGAAAGACCACCTGAGCACCAAGCTGATCTCTGAGAAGCTCCCCGTGGACTTCACCGTTTCCTTCATCTGCCTGGTGTGCGACCACCTGCTCTCTGACCCGGTTCAGTCTCCCTGCGGGCACCTCTTCTGCCGCCACTGTATTATAAAATTGACCCACGTTCTGGGACGTCACTGCCCCGCCTGCAACTTGCCCTGCGCCCCTGATGATCTCACCCCGCCTGCCAAAACCTTTTTATCAGCCCTGTATTCCCTGCCTCTGCTCTGCCCCAGGGACGGCTGTGGTGAGCAGGTAAGGCTAGACTCGTTTAAAGCTCACTGTCGGAGCCATGACGTCGGGGAATGTGCAAAGGAGAGTTCACCGGAAGTTGACAACAACGTGACAGCAGGTAAAGGGGGAAGACCCCGCCAGCACTTGCTCTCGCTGACCCGCCGCGCCCAGAAGCATCGGCTGAAGGACCTGAAGCTCCAGGTGAAGTCGTTTGCAGACAAAGAGGAAGGCGGCGACCTGAAGTCTGTGTGTTTGACGCTCTTCCTGCTCGCAATGAGATCTCTGAACGAGCACCGGCAGGCGGACGAGCTGGAGGCCATGATGCAAGGTAAGAGGCTATTACGGGGCTTTTTGTTCAGTCAACACGGGCCTTCGCAGCCGAGAAAGAGGGACGCAAACAAATGATGATGATGATAGTGTTTGCTCATTAATATTTCCACCTACCTCTGAGGAATACAGTCATCTCACAAATAACAATGAGTTGAAAAGTTCACTATTGAGCAGAGAGAAGAAAGTTTTGTGTGATTTTGATTGAAAAGCATTTCATTATTGTCCATCTCTGCCTATTGAACCGCTGCTGCTACACGCCCAACCCCTCCCCGACTCTCTCCCACTCTCACTCGTCTTGTCTGTCAATCTCTCATTCTCACACTCCCTTTAATGCAGAATAACAACTCTTGTGAAGGGGCTGTTAGAATCAAAACAACATCAGCAGCTCTTGTATCTGCAAATTACACAGACAGCACCATCCTCCTCTCTGGGGAATAGAAGCCAGCTGGTGTCTGTTTTCATCTGTAGCCAATACATCACTTTTGCCAGCTTCACTGATTCACCCTCTGTCCCCTTATAACATTTGGAAATTAGGAAATATTGGATTTCGTAATCATCAGCTTGTGGGCTTTTGACAATGATACATTCACATTTGGGTGTTAAATTTGCGATTCTTTCTGTCTCATAGTGGAAATTACTCTAAATGTGGGATATCAAATGAGGAAATGTTAGATACTGCACTTCCTTTCAAAGCATTAGAAATGGGCTTCCACGGGTTTGGTGTTAAATAATTCTCTTCGTGTATCAATCCCTTCCCCTCTTGCTTTCTTTTTTATGTTTTTATTTTTGCCTCTTTCTGTCTCTGAGCTGAAACTTTCTCCCCTTTCATTTTCTCTCTCCGCAGGCAGAGGCTTCGGGTTGAATCCCGCTGTGTGCTTGGCCATTCGGGTCAACACGTTCCTGAGCTGCAGCCAGTATCACAAGATGTACCGGACTGTCAAAGCCACAAGTGGTCGCCAGATCTTTCAGCCGCTGCACAGCCTCCGAACCGCAGAGAAGGAGCTTCTCCCCGGCTTTCACCAGTTTGAATGGCAGCCGGCTCTCAAGAATGTGTCTGCATCTTGCAACGTCGGCATTATTAACGGGCTCTCTGGATGGGCTTCCTCGGTGGATGACTCCCCGGCTGACACAATCACTCGGCGCTTTCGCTATGATGTGGCACTGGTGTCGGCGTTAAAGGATCTGGAGGAGGACATCATGGACGGGCTGAGAGAGAGTGGGATGGAAGACAGCGCTTGCACCTCAGGCTTTAGCGTCATGATCAAGGAATGTTGTGATGGTATGGGCGATGTCAGCGAGAAGCACGGCGGAGGACCTGTTGTTCCCGAGAAGGCGGTGCGCTTCTCTTTCACCGTTATGTCTGTCTCTGTCCTCGCAGACGAGGAGGAGGAGGAGGTTACCATTTTCACTGAGCCAAAACCAAACTCAGAGCTGTCCTGCAAGCCCCTCTGCCTGATGTTCGTGGATGAGTCAGACCACGAGACGCTCACAGCACTCCTGGGGCCCATAGTTGCAGAGCGTAATGCAATGAAAGAGAGCAGACTCATTCTATCCATCGGCGGCCTGCCTCGCTCCATTCGCTTCCACTTCAGGGGCACGGGGTATGACGAGAAGATGGTGCGTGAGATGGAGGGCCTGGAGGCCTCGGGGTCCACGTACGTCTGCACTCTGTGTGACTCCACTCGTGCAGAAGCCTCTCAAAACATGGTGCTCCACTCCATCACTCGCAATCACGAGGAGAACCTAGAACGATATGAGATCTGGAGAAGCAACCCCTTCTCCGAGTCTGCAGACGAGCTGCGAGACCGAGTCAAAGGGGTCTCCGCCAAGCCCTTCATGGAGACCCAGCCCACGCTGGACGCGTTGCACTGCGACATCGGCAACGCCAGCGAGTTCTACAAAATCTTCCAGGACGAGATTGGGGAGGTGTACAAAAAGGCCAACCCCAGCCGGGAGGAGCGGCGCAGCTGGAGGGCCGCCCTGGATAAACAGCTGAGGAAGAAGATGAAGCTTAAACCGGTAATGAGGATGAATGGGAACTACGCCCGCCGGCTAATGACCCTGGAGGCTGTGGAGGTGATATGTGAGCTGGTGCCCTCCGAGGAGAGGAAGGAGGTCCTGAGGGAGCTCATGAGGCTCTACCTGCAGATGAAGCCTGTGTGGCGCGCCACCTGTCCGGCCAAAGAATGCCCCGACCAGCTGTGCCGCTACAGCTTCAACTCCCAGCGCTTTGCTGACCTCCTCTCCTCCGCCTTCAAATATAGATACAACGGGAAGATAACCAATTACCTGCACAAGACCCTGGCCCACGTGCCTGAAATCATAGAGAGGGAGGGATCCATAGGAGCCTGGGCCAGCGAGGGGAACGAGTCCGCAAACAAGCTGTTCAGGCGTTTCCGGAAGATGAATGCACGTCAGTCGAAGGCGTTTGAGCTGGAGGACGTGCTGAAGCACCACTGGCTCTACACCTCCAAGTACCTGCAGAAGTTTATGGAGGCTCACAAGGACTCTGCCAGAGCTCTACAAGCTACCATGGACCCAGCAGAGATCCCCGATGATGAAGATATGTCTTTGGATATTGATTTTTGATTTTACCTCGAGCACAACTGATTGATAGACATTTAATTGATTTCAGAAGAGGTGTATAATCAGTTGCCTCTGTGCTTGTATGTTTTTTACTTTTTGTGCGTATTGATTGATTGTAATAGAATTTGTTTCATTAAGCTGTGGGATGATTCTGGACAAGTTTTAAATTTTCTTTTGTTGTTCTCATTCAACTATCTTTGTGAACTTAATCATTTATTGTTGGAGATTACAAAAAAATCTCTTAAATAACCAATTTTTTGCCTGAATTTAATAGTAAATAGTGTGACTGCTATTTTTTAAAAATGTTTCTGTGACTTGTTTGAAACACTGACTTGTCTTTGAATCACCTTGCTTTGTTAACGGTCGGTTCCACGCTGCACAGATAGGGCAGCGCAGGAACACATACTGTGAAAGTAACACGCAGGTTTCTTTTTCATGTTGGCCTTTTTTCCCTTGTGCTTTTTTTATCTTCATCGTCTGTGAAATATGGCGCATTTTATTGTATTGCAAGGATGTGACACATTTATGAATTTATACAGTGAAGATATTTATGGAAACAGAGGAAAGCGCTGTAAGTCATGGAGGGAAATTGTGTTAAAAAGACCACATTTGTGGCTACTGTATTAATATATCATTTTAGCTGGAGCAAAATGCAATCACAGAGACCCAAATGTTCTTTGTTTCATGAGTGCCCTCTGAAAAAGATTACTTTAGTGCTTTATCGTGGGATCCCTGAGGGGCACAATAGATGCCAGGTCACTTTGAACCAATTTTTATCTCTTAGTTTTTGCACAGCGGAGGATAGATGATACTTATTTGAATTCTTCTCATAAAATAAGGCATATACTGACCTTTTTTTGTTGATATCATAAAAATACAGTATGGTCCATTACAGAGCCTAATACCCCATGGACTCTCTAGGAGGCAGGGATTTTTCTTAAATTCTGTATATAACCTGGCTCTTTCTCTCAGTTTGTATTTCCTCGTTGCCACGATTGACAGAGGAGAGGGATGAGCGGGGAGCCGGAAAAGACCTGATGCGAGCTGATTTGTTGGCGACGTTATGCGTTTGATTGATTGATTATATTGTCTTTTTCTACCCTCGACCATTTTCAATTGTGACAGGCAATTTTGTTTTCTTATTTGATTGAATGTTTGATTTTATGCCGCTGACACAAGTTTAACCACATGACATTTATGAAATATACACATTTCGTTGGATGGTTGTCACAGTTCTACAACAACAGTGCATTATATTGCAACTTGTCTCATATTTGTTTTTGTTTTTTGTTGTTTTTTTTTTTCTCTCGCCGTAATGAATTGCATTTCTAAAGTAATGGATGATGGATGATTCATAAAATTCCACTTGTTCACATTTCACAGTGTATTTCCTCATTTTGTGCCCACACACACACACACACACACGCACACACACACACACACACTAAATATCAGGTAAACTGTTTACTGAGGTGACAGAAGACTTTCATTAGTGATTTATTTTGCATACAAGTACGATATCACACTAAAGTTCTGCTACTGTTTCCACATTTGATTTGTTTTTAAATGCTGTACTGTATTGAACTGTTTCTGCTGTGTTTTTTTAATCGATCCAGACAACTTGCCATCCTTTTGTTGTTTTTTGTGGGAGGGGGAAGGGGTTTGTACTTTATTTGTCTCAGTTTCCAACAAAGAATAAATAAAGATCTTGACTTGATTTTCTTGTTTATCTCTGACTGGTTTAATGTTTTAAATTTTTTTTCAGTTGCACAAACTTCATGTGCATTTACTCCAGGAAGACAGCACATAATTGCTTTTTTGTTTTTAGAGTAGTTCTGCAATAAAAGAAATAAAATAACAACGAATTGTTATACAGCTAATAAAAACCCAAACACTGCAGAGGAAATGTTGTCGCATATAAAGTTTATGAAAGCCCTTTAAAAAACTTTAGAGACTTGTTTGAATGTTTAATATTTAATCTCATTACAAATTTAACTGACTACAGTTCAGTATAATATACATTATTAATCAAATATAATTTATTTAATTTGTAAAATCAGCGCAGGTACATTTATCCGTTCAGTGTGTCAGAATAAGTGTTAATTTAATTACTTTTTCACTATAGTGGATGACAAAATTGTTGATAAAAATCTGATTAAAATGCAAACTAGAAGCACCAACAGACTAAACAATACAATCATTAGTACCATAAGACATTAGAAATAAGTCGGTATGAAGACACAGAAATTTGTTTTGTTTATTGCCATCAGAAAATTTATTATAGAAGGAAACTGTGAAAACAATTCTGCTCCACTTGGCCTTTGAGGAAAGTGTTAGGAAGGAAATACAGAATACTTCTACAACTGATCAGCATCAAAATTGGAAACAATTTTCACACCCCTGCATTTTTATATCAACATAAAATCACAATAACGAAGATGCACCTGACTGACATGAAACATTGCAGTTATTTGCAAAATGCGTCTCATTGATTACACGTCAGCATATTATGATTGTTTTTTTTCATTATTTATTTATTGAATATAAACAAGAAACATCCCAAACATGCAAAGCATCCTTAACAGTGATCATCTGCACACATCGAAATCAGTCAAAGAGCCGTCTGAAAAAGCTTTTCTTGGATGGCGACATCTTGAGCCTCAGCGGTGTGTTTCTTTCCTTCACCTTCATCGGGGTGCGCTTCAGGGGCATGAGCTGTCGAGGTGGGGTCGTCTCCTGGTAGGGCAGACCTCCGTGGTCCAGGCAGAAGTACTTTTGGTTGCCCTCGGAGAGTCTGATCAGCAGCGTCTCAGACAGCTCCATGCACTGGGCATGAACCCAGTGTCCTTCTTCCCCTCTGGAACAGAAGATCATGGCCGGCCGGTGGAGCTCGGTGGAGTAATACGGCTCCCACGTGTTGCTGTCCACCTGACAGGTCAGGCAGCATTTGATCCAGTAGCCTGTTCGTGATTCATCCTCCTCGTCATCTTCATTGTAAGCATCCTCTTCTCCCTCGCTGCTGTCCTCCAGCTCGTGCGGCTCACGACCAAAGTAGAGCTCCTCAGAGTCCTCAAGAGGAGTGGAGTTGTCGTAATCCGTCGACTCCTGGCTGCAGGCCTGAGTTTCTTCGTCCTCTTTGCGCTCTCCCTCTGTTTGGAAGCTCACCTTATAGAAGTAATGGGTGTCCTGTTGGGATGGTCTTCCCTCCGTCGGTACACCCAGCAGGATGCTTCCCTCCTTGGTGCTGCCACCAAACCAGGTACGGCTATGGATGATATCTGGGATCCAGCTGGGTGGTTCTAAGGGTTCAAACTGGATCCCTTTCTCATCCAGAATCACAGTGCTGCACTCCATCCTCTTCTGAGAGTCTGACTGATATCCACCTAAGATGATGTATTTGTGAGAGGGACCCGGTCGGGTGATGATGGCACTAGAGATGGATAAACCGGTGTCCAGGGTCTCACAGGACAGCAAGGGGCTGCCCTGCAGAAGCTCAACGCGCAGGCGAAACAGTCGAGGTGGACGCGAGTCAGATGTCAGGGAGTGACCTCCGATGAAGTAGACGCAGTCTTCTCTGGAAAGGGCCACATGGAAGGACTGCCCATCATCGAGCTCGGGCAAAGTGTGAGCAGAGGAGCAACCAAACTCCAGGTCGAACAGGAACACCTGAGGAGGGCAGTCAACAACACTGTTCCAGCTCTCTGTGGTTCTCTCTCCTGCAGGCATGTAGGACCGACCCCCGAACAGCACGCAGGCCGTCTTCCCACGGCTTTGCACCACGCTCAGTGTGTGGCCGTATCGGGCTCCCGGCACTTCTGCCACCAGTTCTTTCTCTTTACAGCGCAGTGTTAACTTGCGATTGCAGCCACGACTGTCCATGGTCAGCAGGTACAAGCTTGACGAGATCTCATTGTTTGGCGTGCGGCCACCGTGGATGAGATAACTCTCTGGAAGGCCGTCGTAGGGGTCGAGGCGGCAGACGGCCGGACAGCGTAACGGAGGGAGGTAGCAGGAGTCATTGCCGAAGGAGATGGGCCTCAACTTCAGCTCGCCACGTTTGATGCGTACCCCGAATACTCCTGTGGGACACGAGCGCTTGGGCCAGCCCTTCTGGCCAAACAGGAGAACTTCCCCATCCAGATGCAGCAGCGAGCAGCCGGGCTGCAGCAGGCCTGCACAGTTCACTGGAGTTAATGGCTGCAGGGTCATTTTCCGGCAGGTGCCTGCGTCAAAACAGCACATAAACACACAAACACAATGTGTCAGTCAGCTGCTGTTTGTTTTCCTTCAGGGGTTTTAAATTTTTACTTCCTGTTTATTACAGGAACATGTGGAAGACCGTAACACACGTGATGTGTGCTACGGACCCTAAAACGTAATGTACCGTCATTTGCTGCAAGTCAGGATTTCTTTTTACATTTGTGCATGATGGTAAAGGCTACCGACACAGGAATAGTGATGCTATTTATGTATTGCATGGTATAAGAATGGAATATTAATTGTACAAATAAGGAGTTAATAGCAGTAAAAAGCAGATGAGCTACATCACTTTACACACCTTTCAAATGAACAATGTTGTAGTTAACTATTAGTATTAATGTTAGCTGCTGCTACTGATTAGCAAAACAAAGCAACACATTTTTCTTAAACATCAATTTATAAGTATATACAAATAAAAACAAATTGGAAAAAACAACCCTTTTAAATGGGGTTACTTTACAAAACTGCATTTTTAACTTTGATTTAGGATTTTCAAAGACACTTTCTGCAGGTGATTAACAGGAAATACTTTAACAAATGCCTCTTTTTAAGCTTTAACAGCAACAGACCTTGAATTTACATGCAAGCTTACGAGCAACAAGAGCACAATATCCCTTCAAGAGCCTGAGATCTGCTAATTCTTCCGTTAACATCATAATTTTTAGTTGGCTTACCTTCCAGCCAGTAGCAGGGCGCAGTGCTTTGAGCTCACTTAAGTGTAACTCTTATGATCGCTAAGATGAAGCTAAAGGGCTCTTTATGTAGCCGAACTTTGACAAAGGAAGAAAGGCAGAGGAGCTTGTGAAGCTCCGTTGACTCACAAACACCTCCAGATCTTGAGGTTAACAGCCTGTGACTGCTGCTCACTGGCAGGTGTGCTGCTTGAATGCTTTTAGTGGCTCACTTCAATGATATCAGTTACATTAAAGAAGGTGCAACTGGCTATTGAGAGACTCGTGTCTGTTGAACAACCTTAACCTTTATAATACCTTTAGAAATTCACATCCATGACTCTTTTTTTTTTCTTTTTTCTTTTCCTCTTGGAAGTTATGAAATAGTTTGACACACAACTTTATTTAGGGCACGTTTACACTTAATGAATAAATGGTATTATACACTTCCAAATCCTGTTTCTAATAAGATACACAATAGGAAGACTAATTATTAAAACAGGGATGAGAAACATGCCCTACATTGTAGAAGAAATGCATATTTTTTTTCTGTTTTTTCCCCCGACTAACAAGACACACCTCTTTTTTTTTCGTGCAAACAAGAGAAACCACTGAATATGTCCTATTGGTGCATTAACACCTAATTTAATAGTTTAATTTCTGGGGGAAAATAACAACAACTCCTGAATTCAACACGACAAAAAATAACACAGGTTCACAAAATACTCCTACTCCACCGTTTTATCTTAATTTACTGTATTAAGTGAAGCAGATGCAAACAGCCGTTTAATCATGTTTAGACAAACCAGGAGGTATTAATGTGCCCCGAACATTAAGTAGGAAATTAGTTTCAAAAATGGGAAATTCCTTAAAATCTCTGAATTAATGGAGTGTGATATTCTAAAATAATTTCTTCCTAATGCCAAGCTCTTTTTTTTTTTTTTAAATAGTTGACATTTTAAGATAATTAACTCCGCGTACATGATTGAAATAATAGTTTATTCGGCTGGGCAAGGCCGCCCTAATTTACACATTCATTCTAAAGCTGATTACAGGACCTAATCAAACTTTCCTTTATGTCACCGATCGGGCAGTTTACGGCGAAAACAGTTTCCTTTCAAATGTTTTCACACGCACGCCTGTGTTATATACAGTTTCTACTGTTCTACAGCCTGAATTTACATAACTAAAGCCGTTTCTTGTGCTTTGCTTTCACGTCAAGCCTCCTCGTTTTTGATTTCGCTTATTTGCGGCGTCAAAAAATAATCACATCCTCTAAATACTGACGGATGATTGCGCGCGATGACGGATTGCTGAAAAATCCTCGTACACGTTCGAACATTCGGCTATAAGTCTCAGCCTGCCTTACATACACACACATAGATCCAGAGCCTGGCCGGACACATCGCAGCAATAACTCGTAAATCACGGGTTTTAGAGTCAACACAATTTATTTCGGTGAACTTTTTGACATTCACATTCACTGCTGACATGTCAGGAAGTACGAGCCATTAATTCACACGCTGCACGCTGAGCCTAATGCATTATCCCGCTATGTGACAGTGCTTCATGAGGGGAAGGTAAAGGAACAGGAAAAACAAAACATCACTCTTCAACAGCGGCGAATACATTACGGCAGTCGGAAATTTCCTTTTGCGCATGCCTCCGTTTGAAAGACTTGACCTACTGTAGGTAAAAGCAGATCCCCTATATGAGTGACAAACGCATGTCTGAACGCCTTGAGAGAAGCCGAGCTGGAAGCAGATGTCTACCCGCTCATTAGCATAATGTTTTTGTGCTCTGAGAGTGGCTGAGAGAAAACTTGAGGAGCGTACGAAAAACAAAAAGGCGAGAAAAACCACAAGTGCCTGGAAGACCGTTACGGCTCGAAAACACAAAAACAGCAGAGCACCTGTGTGTCTAAACCGATGCTTACAGGGGCTGAGAAAAGAATCCACTCCTGTTACTAGAGAGGATATAATGCAATCAAGTGTCAGCGGGATATGCAAAATGTTTTCTTTTTCCTTCTTTATGTTGTTTTTTTTTTGAGAACAGTTCCATCTGTATGAATTCAGCCTTGGAAGAAAAAAAACAAAACAACAAAAACACGTTCCAGTCACCTGAAGGCATCTACATAAACCAGTGTTGAGGAGTCTATGTAGCCACAGCTGGGATGGTGCAGAGAGTGTGTAGGAGGCACAGCAGTGTGTGGCAGACCCCAGGCCATGCAAGGATTTCTACATAATTGATAGAACAAAGTAATTAGAATCTACGGCAGCACCTGTTTCTGTCCCTCGTAATGTATCACTACCTGACTGTTGCTGCCCCGAAGTGCGGTTTTGACGGATGATGCGGTGACAGCTCTGATGTTCTGACGATCACTGTGCAGTCGTGTTTATCACTATTTAATGTTACGGTAATTGCTCCCCTTGTGGTGATTGGTACTGAGTGCCAGTGGTGCTTCCGCCTCGCTCTGGTTGAGATTGCAGCGCTCGTTGGCGGCGGCTATCATCTTGTGATAAGTGACCTGTAATGCCGCACTTCAGATTTTTACGTTCAGGATCATCGCTTTGGCACAACTGTGTCCTATTTAAAACCCAACTCTGTCTAAGAAAAAGTGTGTTGTGGATTTGCATCAACAAGTTCATTTTGTGGTAACCTAATGCCATCAGTTGTAGGCTAATTTTAGCATCCATCCATCCATCATCTATGCACCCTCACTAGGGTCGCGGGGGGCTGGAGTCTATCCCAGCTGACTCCTTGGACAGTCTATCACAGGGCCACACTTTGAGACAGACAACCAAGCACACTCACATTCACATCTATGGACAGTTCAGAATCACCAACATGTTTTTGGACTGTGTGGGAGGAACCCGGAGAACCTGGAGAGAACCCACGCTGCACGGGGAGAACATGGAGACTCCACGCAGAAAGCTCCCGGGTGTCCTCACAGGGACGCGAACCGGGGATCTCCTAGATGTGAGACGGCGGCGCTAACCACCTTGCAGCCCCCTAATTACAGCATAAAAAAGAAAATTATTTTTTGAATATATCTCCACACTGTTTGCTACGAGCAACTTTGCAGAATATTCGTTGTTGTGGTTAGTTTTTTTTGCAAGTAGCAACATGCAAATAGGGATGTTTTGTGGTTAAAAGAACTCAAAGCCAAAGTTCAAAGAAGTCCTGGTTAAAACCAACTGATAAAAATGACAGCATGTTTTGTAAAAAGGGCTGCTGGTAGCAACGAACCACAAAGAATTATTACCTCACTCGTACTTCTTTCTGACGTAATTCAAGGCAGAGGTGAATGGCAGCATGAGGCTAACTTTAAGTGTTTTTGCATCCTAAACTGCGAGCCACAGGACACGACTCCCCGCCTCCAGCGTCAAGGTTCTGTGCGTTATTCTTTTCTCATTTTCAACCCATAATCATCCCCCGTCTTATTTACTTCTGTGAGAAAAAAAAAGTGCTGCAAACAGGGAACAAATTACTACAATTTGAAATCATTTTGCAAGCGATACTGTTGCTGGATCCTCAGTGTTTCCTTTCATGCTTAATGTCCCTTTGCTCCAAATCCCTTCTCCTTCTTTAATCTTGTTCCCATTGTTCCTGGACTCCCTGCTCCACCAAAATGTGCTTCTCTTCTGCTGTCCTCTTTCTGTGTAGGTGAGCAGCAAGGTTGAGTTGCCTCTGTACATGGTGGGATGCCAAGGGCTGCATAGCGCCTTGGCATCACACCAGATGCTGTTGGAAACCCTGGAGTCCTTCTGTGCCCCCTCTGAGCTCATCTAGAGCTGCTTCATTTAGCTGTTTATGGGATGTGACTTATATGTTGAACAGGCAACCTAAAGCCATGTTTTAGGTTGATAAGCGGGGACCTATTCTCACCCTGCGGTGAACAGACGCTCGACTGGCGGCCCCGCAACTTAGCTCGTTTCCAGAGATGGAGGGATCAGGAGAGGGAGGAAGAGTGGCCAGAGCCGGGAGGGAGCGAGATGTGACAGCAGTGGGACCGCTCTGAGGCTGTGCGGATCAGGCCGAGGTCAGCGGCCTGCTGATCCTCTGCTGCACCCTCCAAACTCGATGGATTGAAGCTTTGAGTAAGAAAACCTCCATAACAGTTTGCAATCACACCGGAGCCCCTTGTTGAATAACACCTCCCCTCCTTCACCCGTCTCAGTGCTTTCCTCCTATATCTCTGCCTGTCTCCTCCGGTTTATCTCCGCATTCACCACCGCCGCCACCCCCCAATCGCAGTGAGTCTCGATTTTCTTTAAG